AGCAGAACTTGACTTTAAGTTTGAAATAAGTTTTCAAAATGGCCGCTGTGGCGGCCATATTGGATTTCTGATCGACCCGAAAAATAACAACACTTTGTCAGGACCATGAGGCGATCATTCCTACTAACTTTTAGTTCAATCGGCCCAGCAGAACTTGACTTTAAGTTTGAAATGTAAAATGTTAACGGACGACGGACGACGACGGACGAAAACGGATAGCGATAGGTCACTTGAGCTAAAGCTCAGGTGACCTAAAAAAATCCTCTATTTCCCCTATTGGGCCCCGCTCCTATGCCGCCAGAAGGCCCACACCCTCCGTTTATACAAACTTGAGTCTCCTTTGTCCAAAGATGCTCTAGGACAAATTTGGTCAAAATCCTTCAATTGGTTGAGAAGAAGAACATTTTTAAAGATTTACCTTTTTTCCCCTTATTTAGCCCCGCCCCTCTGCCCCGAGGGGGGGGCTATACCGTCCGTTTATACAAAACTGAGAACCCTTTGGCCAATGATGCTCCTGACCAAATTTGGTCAAAATCCTCTGAGCCATTCAGGACAAGTAGCATTTTAAAGGAAAAAGTTGACGGACGCCAGACGCCGGACGACGGACGCTGCACCATGGGATAAGCTCACATGGCCCTTCGGGCCAGGTGAGCTAAAAATCAATTACAATTGGTTTTGGTTTGTGTTTTACGTCCTATTAACAGTTATGGTCATTTATGGTTATTTAAGGTCGTGTCAGGTTTTGATGGTGGAGGATTAAAGTCTGAGTTCCAAGAGAAAACCCACCGACCTGTGGTCAGTACCGGTACCTGGCGACTGCTCCACGTAGGTCTCGAACCCGCAACCCTGTGGTGGAGGGCTAATGGTAGCAGAATGTCAGACGCCTTCACCACTTGGCCATTATAAGGTAAAGTATTGACAGGTGCATTCTCCTGAAAAATGGCCTTATTTAAAAATGTCTTTAGCTATCGGAGGCCAAGGCTGAAAAAATTGTATTGCGAAGCAATGTTAATCCCCTCGATCAGTGTTGTAGTTGAGAGATGATATGGGTTGATTTCTATACTGACGTACAGTAAATGATCTAAACAGAAACAGAGACCAAGGGATTTGAATTAGGAAGTAGTGCCGAGTTGTGTGTAAGTAGTTGCGCTCAGTAAATATAAACAAAATAGCTCAGATGAGAAATGTTTTATTAGTTATATATGAAAATATATTATATATAATAAATCAATTCATTGTCAAAATAAATGTTTCAAAAATATCGAAAGCTAGTTTTGAGATATTTTGTATCCAGTAAGTAAAAGAAAATAATTTCGTTGTAAAAGTATGATGATATTATTCAATGCAAAATAGTTGATTAAAATATTTAAGTACACATGCTAGAGAATACTAATTGATACAGTCTTTAATATGATCTTAAACAGTGGATATTAACGCCTCATTTCAATTATATAGACATTGCATAGTCATCTCCTATATTCTTATAGTTAGGTTTTATTGTATACATTCCGTATACACACACAGTTCTCATGACAATTTTCGCTCACCAAAGACTGCTTCATCATTCCATATGACAGAGGTTCACACTTAACTATATAACTGTAAAAACCAATAAACCGTTACACATGTATCAATGAATAAATATTGTATACAATTAATATCCGATTAATAAATGAAATAAAATCAAGCTACTAAAGCTAGTGTTATGCTGAGTCTCATCAAGTATTAAATGTCAAAAAATATATCGGATGGATTTTCATAGTTTCTGGAGAGGAAATCTTAATCTCATACAGTGAACTTTTTGTGTGGAAATAAAACTTTCCCACATTTCTTTCGTTTTCAGTGGCTGTAAGAGGTAGACAAAAGATGTTAGATTGGCATCCAGCCATTGCTTTTTTTGCATTCCAATTGTAATTTCCCCAACCGTTCTGTATATAATCTCATAATGTTCTTTTCAAATTAACAAAAAATACAATCTTTTGAAAACCATTGTGTAATATGCATAAAATTTAAAAAAAAACCCCCCCTAATTAAAAACTTTTTTTTTTTTTTTTTTTATCTTTGGTGAAATAAAGCAGTAACCTTTAGTTGTGCTGTTGACTAAAACCATGATTTGATAATAATATATGTTTAGAGTTAACAATATGATGTATATACGGTAGTAAACATATTCAACCAGTTATATTTCATGTACAATTGTGAATTTCAAGAAAATATAATAGATTCATCTTGCAACAAACTTCAGAGATATGTAATAAGAAACGAGAAGTGATGAACCTAATATTTAGATCAGTTATACATTGGAACTTATTCGTTGTGTTTGTAAAAATATTTTTCTATATTTATTGCAATACATTCAGTTTATTTTAAAACTTAATATCCTTGTAACTTCAGGTTAGGACATATTTAAATTCACCTTAACAAAGCTTTGAAACATTTTCGAACTTGAATGATAATAAAACTTTGAAGGGAAGTACATTTAATCAACAATTTCTTGTAGCTTCTAAACAATATACTCAAGAAGGAATTAGAACTAATTTTGAATTCCTTAAAAATAAGATCTGGTAAAAAAAAAGGAAAATGTAATTTCGGATGAAATATGTAATTATTTTTAAGAATATGATAGCTGTGATGCCTTTGTTCATTAATAGTGTAACCTTAATATCTGCATCTGTTTTACAGAAATATGGAGTGTATGCAGAGATCATATTATATTGCATTTGGTAAGTTTGTAATTTATTTTAACATCATCTACAAGCATTCCATACTTATTACATGTTTAATGCATGAAAGTAAAAAACTCTTCATACAGCTTCTGACACTGTATTTTAAGGCTATGGTGAAACTGTGTAGGGACGTTAACACAAATTAGCACTACAAAAATCCTGTAGTCATTACTCTTTCTTCTTAAAATTATTTGTTTGTATGTCCCAGAATATAGAATTAAAACCGCAATTACCACATATTAAAATATAAACCAAATATGATACAAATATGAATTCAAATAGACCCAGCCCAACAATTTCAAGTCTAACCTGCAAGCTCAAACAGCAGAAATGTGAGTGATTGTAAGTATTGAGCAAAATCAGCAGCAGTTTATTCACTTCAAATCTTTAAATTTTTCTCCAAGAGATTTCACAGGAAAACCATACCCAAATGAAATTGTATTTTCATATCATTTCAAGTAGAACACTAGTCAAAGTTCATTACAAGTTATTTTCTGTAAACAAAAACTTGCCCCCCCCCCCCCCCCCCCCCCCCCCCCCCCCCCCCCCNCTGATTATATAGCCATTTCTGTTTGATGTTAAACGGCTTCAGGTTGGGTAAGAAATCGATTTCGACAAATTTTATTAGACAAAAAAAATGAACAATTGGTTGGGACAACAGGCTTAGCCTATATAAGTTTTCTCCTTGGGTAAGAATCTGTAGTTCAATACAAATTTATCAACGTTGTTATATGAAATCAACGTTGTTAATTGAAATAGAAACCCATTTTTTTTTCAATTCAAATAATGCTTCCAGAAGTGCAAAAAAACGAATTACCACTCACCTCACTTCAGTCATCAAAATTTATAAAGAGATTATGAAAATATGCCATATTTTCTATATATTATTTCATGGAATGGACAAATATTGTAATAAAAACCTGGGAGTACAATAATCAAACGTACAAGTTTGATGCATAGTATAAAAAATAATAAGTAAACATCAAAATTGCATGTGTACAAAATGAAAAGTTATTCACAAAAGTTCAATTATAATTGTATAGAAACAATGAATTATATGGATATGGATTCCTCAGACACAGTTAACACTGAGAAATATACAAACATCACAGATATATCTATAAATGAAAATATATACATATATATTACAAGCAGTATCAATAATATAACATAAACTTTACTTTTAAATATATATTTAGACCCAAGCATATTATCACTTACCTGGATCTCAGCAAACACCAAAATACACCGGATGAAAACACACGAATGTTACAGAACTTGGAATGCAAAAACACTGGATATGTTTAACAGCGAAAGATATGAAAGTAGAAATCAATGTTGGGAAAGAAGACAGCATAGGATATTCTATTGAATCACCAGAGGATGGTGTTCCGATTACGCCAGGCACATTTAATATTCATCTTGTGCTTAAACTGGCGTGGTGGGTGAAGAAGTACGAGTAATCAAACAAAAAATCTCTTTCAATTTCAAAAAGAATTCTTCGTCATGAACATCTAAAGAATCAGTGATGTATCTTTCGGTTTAATATTATAAATCTGTGTTTACAAGTTTCTCTTTTCACTACCGTGACATTACTTAAAATCAAACTCTACAAAATCCTACTTTATACAGTTTTCTATGAAACTATCCAAACTGTGCATACATTAAATCATATCACGTTTTCAAAACATGCGACATAATTAAAAAAAAGAATAATGTTATTTCATAGAAACGAAACTGTGGAAAAAAATGCAAAATCTTAAAAAAGTAAGTTTACATGGTTTATAACCAAAGATGAGGTGAATACAACAAATACGAAGAACAATGGTCTCCATGGAAATGTGAACTAATCCTTCGAGGTTCTATATATACATATCATGATAAACAATGTTAACTATTCAACAAGAAGGCGCCATCGGTCAACAATGAACCCCAAAATTGTTGGAAGCACTATGTAAGTGAGAGATCATCCAAACTTTTTGTAGTAATGATAAATTGTACATACAGTAATATGATAACAAATGCAAAAGTAACAGTTCATAATATGCATAATACAATATCTGTACGATGACAGAAACATCTGAATTGTTTCCCCTTGACATTGTTTTAACCAAGGGCAAACAGTGTTACAGATTAAACTTGCGTGTTTATTACATACACCTTCTTACAAAGCTAATTATATCAAATGAAAGATATACTGCATATTATGTATTTTATGACACAACAGGTTATCCAGTTTCTGTTCATCAACTTTTCTATAATGCAATTTACTTATCTGAAATCTATTTTCTAAATTTGCACTAGTTCAATGTTGTTTTTTCAAACTTAAATTAGTTTCTTTTTTCACCTTTAGATGTTTATGGTTTTATATAAATAAGAAAGCCACTGATCCATAGCCTGTGACAAAAGCTCTCAACAAAATACAGATTTAAGAGTTATAACAGCAGATCAGGTACACACTCAAGCTGTGAACTGTCCTCTGTTGACATTCATAGTCACTTTCAAGTTATAAGTGACATTCTTAAGTGATGCATTTATAACCAACAATATTCAATAGCATGCATAATGTAAACTCACTTTATTAAACGTGCTTAATTAATAATCTTTATGTCACAAGCCTTTAAATAATTCTCTGAATTAATCGGATTTCTTTTATATCAGATGTGAATATTTCTGTTAACCATCATTTCTTTTTGAATCTTCATTTAAAAAAATTGACCTTTGGATGATATTTTAAAGATATCATTATTTATGAGCTCGACAAAAACAATACATGACACATATAAAATTCATATGCTCATGTTCTCAAATGGAATGACAAGGTGGTCATTTAATAAAGTTTAAACACCAATTAAAGCAAAATTCCTATAGGGAATCAATCTTAAGTACTTATTCACAGTTCAGTGTTAACTATAACAGAGACATATAAAGCCAAATCTCTGTAGTATATACATCTCTGACTATAATAAAGCTGGGGGTACAAAACAAATAAACATTCTGAATGCTAATGATCATATTTCTCTAGTTAACTGGTAACTTGAATAGAAAAACATTACTGATCGACGTTAACAAAGGAATTTTCAGCAGAACATATGATATATATATATAACAGATTTAATTGATTGTGTCCAAAATATTTTGATTACTATGAGAGCAGCTATCACCAATATAACAAATGACCTGGAGTAAGATTCAGATTAGTCAAACCCAATTATGCAATATACCTTTTTCTTTAAAAAAATGTTTAATCTATTGAAACATATCCTTACATGTCTTTCATATATTAAAACAAATGTTTCATTGGAATCAGGAATCACAAGACTTGGAATTTTCTATTCAAATTAGGAATGATTTTGGTACAAATATATATAAACTATCATATATAAAACTAACTATAGAACCCTGTTCAGGTTTTAATCCTTTAGTACTGAAGAATCTTTACATATTTTATATCAATAATAACAAACTATCTGCTATAATTTTATATTTTTTCCAATAGTGAAAATTGTTGTGTAAATATTTCTTTCTTTTGACAAGTGTTTCATAAAGAAGACAAAATTTGATCTATTACTACTTTAGCACATATTGAAACATTGCTGATGACTAAACCAGTATATTTTTCCTCCCTAGGTCCCAATAGATCAAAACTAATTAAAAACCATGGAATTTTTAACACCATCCAAGTCATATAATTTTCTGGAGCATGATCAGTTCAAAAAGGTCATCGAAAGGTATGAACCCACATCACCTTTGCAACTTGGGAATGATATGTCCACACTATGCTTTATTGGGCAGGGTCTTGGTTAAAGCTCCGTTTTGTCAGTTGTATTCTGGTAAAAGTCCTGGTTTTGGTACATATTTTCCTCTGTGTCTTGTTCTGAAAAAGAAGAACCATGATTTCATTAAAAAAACAAAATTAATGTAACCCAGAAGAAATCATTAAATAAGAATTGGGAGATGTAGTTATTATAATGGTAAATATATGGAGGTTACAATACACTATAACCAAACTGATTCCATTGTGTCAATCATGATGAGTACGTCCCAATTTATCATACCACCTACTGTCAGGGAATAACGACAATTAGGGAAACAAACAGCATGTATAGCTAACGACAGGGTTAATCAAATATCCTTTCAATCTGTTCACTAGACAATCAAATATTCTTTCAATCTGTTCACTAGACAAGCAAATATCCTTTCAATCTGTTCACTCGAAAAACATATATCCTTTCAATCTGTTCCCTAGCTGATCAAATATCCTTTCATTCTGTTCACTAGACAATCATATATCCTTTCAATCTGTTCACTAATCAAATATCCTTTCAAATTCCATTGTGTCAATCATGATGAGTACGTCCCAATTTATCATACCACCTACTGTCAGGGAATAACCACAATTAGGGAAACAAACAGCACGTATAGCTAACGACAGGGTTAATCAACTATCCTTTCAATCTGTTCACTAGCTAATCAAATATCCTTTCAATCCGTTCACTGGACAATCAAATATCCTTTCATTCTGTTCACTAGACAATCAAATATTCTTTCAATCTGTTCACTAGAGAATCAATAGACAATCAAATAGCCTTTCAATCTGTTCACTAATCAAATATCCTTTCAATCCGTTCACTAGGCAATCAAATATCCTTTCAATTTGTTCACTAGACAATCAAAGATCCTTTCAATCTGTTCACTATATAATCAAATATCCTTTCAAATTCCATTGTGTCAATCATGATGAGTACGTCCCAATTTATCATACCATGGCCACCTACTGTCAGGGAATAACGACAATTAGGGAAACAAACAGCACGTATAGCTAACGACAGGGTTAATCAACTATCCTTTCAATCTGTTCACTGGACAATCAATAGACAATCAAATAGCCTTTCAATCTGTTCACTAGGTAATCAAATATCCTTTCAAATTCCATTGTGTCAATCATGATGAGTACGTCCCAATTTATCATACCATGGCCACCTACTGTCAGGGAATAACCACAATTAGGGAAACAAACAGCATGTATAGCTAACTACAGGGTTAATCAAATATCCTTTCAATTTGTTCACTAGACAATCAAAAATCCTTTAAATCTATTAACTAGATAATCAAATATCCCTTCAATCCGTTCACTAGACAATCAAATAGCCTTTCAATCTGTTCACTAGCTAATCAAATATCCTTTCAAATTCCATTGTGTCAATCATGATGAGTACGTCCCAATTTATCATACCATGGCCACCTACTGTCAGGGAATAACGACAATTAGGGAAACAAACAGCACGTATAGCTAACGACAGGGTTAATCAAATATCCTTTCAATTTGTTCACTAGACAATCAAAGATCCTTTCAATCTGTTCACTCGAAAAACATATATCCTTTCAATCTGTTCCCTAGCTGATCAAATATCCTTTCATTCTGTTCACTAGACAATCATATATCCTTTCAATCTGTTCCCTAGCTGATCAAATATCCTTTCATTCTGTTCACTAGACAATCATATATCCTTTCAATCTGTTCACTATATAATCAAATATCCTTTCACTCTGTTCACTAGACAATCAATGGACAATCAAATATCCTTTCATTCTGTTCACTAGACAATCATATATCCTTTCAATCTGTTCACTATGTAATCAAATATCCTTTCAATTTGTTCACTAGACAATCAATGGACAATCAAATATCCTTTCAATCGGTTCACTAGATAATCAAATATACTTTCAATCTGTTCACTAGGCAATCAAATATCCTTTCAACCTGTTCACTAGACAATTATACTTTCTATCTGTTCACTAGACAGTTATTCTTTCAATCTGTTCACTAGTCAATCAAATATCCTTTCAATTTGTTCACTAGACAATCAATGGACAATCAAATATCCTTTCAATCAAATATCCTTTCAATTTGTTCACTAGACAATCAATGGACAATCAAATATCCTTTCAATCAAATATCCTTTCAATTTGTTCACTAGACAATCAAAAATCCTTTAAATCTATTAACTAGATAATCAAATATCCTGTCAATCTGTTCACTACACCATCAAATATCCTTTCAATCGGTTCACTAGATAATCAAATATGCTTTCAATCTGTTCACTAGTCAATCAAATATCCTTTCAACCTGTTCACTAGATAATCAATAGAAAATCAAATATCCTTTCAATTTGTTCACTAGACAATCAAAGATCCTTTCAATCTGTTCACTCGAAAAACATATATCCTTTCAATCTGTTCTCTAGACAATCAAATATCCTTGCAATCTGTTCACTAGATAATCAATAGACAATCAAATAGCCTTTCAATCTGTTCACTAATCAAATATCCTTTCAAATTCCATTGTGTCAATCATGATGAGTACGTCCCAATTTATCATACCACCTACTGTCAGGGAATAACGACAATTAGGGAAACAAACAGCACGTATAGCTAACGACAGGGTTAATCAAATATCCTTTCAAATTCCATTGTGTCAATCATGATGAGTACGTCCCAATTTATCATACCATGGCCACCTACTGTCAGGGAATAACGACAATTAGGGAAACAAACAGCACGTATAGCTAACGACAGGGTTAATCAACTATCCTTTCAATCTGTTCACTAATCAAATATCCTTTCAATTTGTTCACTAGACAATCAATAGACAATCAAATATCCTTTCAACCTGTTCACTAGATAATCAAATATGCTTTCAATCTGTTCACTAGATCATCAAATATCCTTTCAATCTGCTCACTAGACAATCAATAGACAATCAAATAGCCTTTCAATCTGTTCACTATATAATCAAATATCCTTTCAAATTCCATTGTGTCAATCATGATGAGTACGTCCCAATTTATCATACCACCTACTGTCAGGGAATAACCACAATTAGGGAAACAAACAGCATGTATAGCTAACGACAGGGTTAATCAAATATCCTTTCAAATTCCATTGTGTCAATCATGATGAGTACGTCCCAATTTATCATACCATGGCCACCTACTGTCAGGGAATAACCACAATTAGGGAAACAAACAGCACGTATAGCTAACGACAGGGTTAATCAACTATCCTTTCAATCTGTTCACTAATCAAATATCCTTTCAAATTCCATTGTGTCAATCATGATGAGTACGTCCCAATTTATCATACCACCTACTGTCAGGGAATAACGACAATTAGGGAAACAAACAGCATGTATAGCTAACGACAGGGTTAATCAAATATCCTTTCAAATTCCATTGTGTCAATCATGATGAGTACGTCCCAATTTATCATACCACCTACTGTCAGGGAATAACGACAATTAGGGAAACAAACAGCATGTATAGCTAACGACAGGGTTAATCAACTATCCTTTCAATCTGTTCACTGGACAATCAAATATCCTTTCATTCTGTTCACTAGACAATCATATATCCTTTCAATCTGTTCCCTAGCTGATCAAATATCCTTTCATTCTGTTCACTAGACAATCATATATCCTTTCAATCTGTTCCCTAGCTGATCAAATATCCTTTCATTCTGTTCACTAGACAATCAAAAATCCTTTCAATCTGTTCACTCGAAAAACATATATCCTTTCAATCTGTTCACTGGACAATCAAATATCCTTTCAACCTGTTCACTAGACAATTATACTTTCTATCTGTTCACTAGACAGTTATTCTTTCAATCTGTTCACTAGTCAATCAAATATCCTTTCAATCAAATATCCTTTCAACCTGTTCACTAGATAATCAAACATCCTTTCAATCTGTTCCCTAGACAATCAAATATCCTTTCATTCTGTTCACTAGACAATCAATAGACAATCAAATATCCTTTCAACCTGTTCACTAGACAATTATACTTTCTATCTGTTCACTAGACAGTTATTCTTTCAATCTGTTCACTAGCTAATCAAATATCCTTTCAATCAAATATCCTTTCAATCAAATATCCTTTCAACCTGTTCACTAGATAATCAAACATCCTTTCAATCTGTTCCCTAGACAATCAAATATCCTTTCAATCTGTTCACTAGACATGCTCCAGTTTACCAGAAAACAAAAGAGAAAAGAAATATATTAATTGAAGTGCACACCAAACACGCAAAAGGTTCAAAACCCTATAAAAGACATTCTAGCTATCTCCATCCAATTGAAAAATTTGATAAGGGAATAGTCACTTATCTTAGGGTTACTTACCAAATGCTTTGTTCATATAGACATTTTCTTCCTCATCGTCATCATCATTTTCTTGCAGCCGAGCTCTCTTTCTTTCAATCAGGTCTTTTGCGCAGTCATGAATAAACACATATTGTTGCTACAAATAACATAGAATATTTACCGAGATAAGTACAGAAGTAGATAAAAGGAGGTACTATTTTACCCCCAAAATAATATCTTTGATCATCAACAGCTATGTCTTGTATTTAACGTAATACATACACATTTACCAGTACATATATTGACCATACTTTGGTCATTTGATTCTATATTAGTTTCCTTTTCACTTAATTTTGATTCAGTAGATTATATAAAGGTATATAAGACAAATGAACCAATGGTAATTAAGACAAAGAAAAGGTTAAATAGTCGAAGCATGAGGTATACAAGATATCATATCCTAGAAAGAAGCATTTTTTTTCCAGTATGCTTTATGAAATGCAAGATTTAAGAACCAAACGTTTTCTAGACGTTTACAAAAGATGGGTTAGAATGTATCATTATATTCTACTGTACCTCTGTCTGGACCATAAACACTCGATAGTTCCTCATAGACAGAACCAAGTCGAAAATGTCTAACTCCTCATTGAAGTCGTGTTCATCAATGAACTGGATAAGTTGATCTAAGGACATGTAGGTTCCTGTGCGACCGACTCCGGCACTGAAAAATCAGTTTAGTTATAATGTAATCATATATACTACAACATAAGACAAATTGAGAACACTTATTCAGACATAAGGTGGATCTTTATACAGGGTATATTTCTAAATAAGCTGTTTGAAGCTGTACATGAAAAAAAAAACCAGGAATAACAGCAAGAGTCAAATTTCTTAGTCATCATCAACCTGGGCATTTTGGTTATTCAGAAGAAGTTGTTTAAAGTTTTTAACATATTTGACCCCTGTGACCTTGAAAATTGGTGAAGGTCATTTATTTGGACAAACTTGGTAGCCCTTCATCCCAGTTTGCTTCTGGCCAAATATCATCACCCTAGGCCTTTTGGCCTTTGGGCCAGATGAGCTAATAACAGTTGTCACTGTCGTTACCAAATCAATAGCTTGGTGTCAATGTTGTTACTAAATAAGCAGATGTCTCTTTGTTACTGAATACATAATTGTCATTTTTCACCAAATTAACAGTTGTCATTTTTGTTATTGACTTAACAGTTGTCATTCTAATAATGTTATTGAATAAATACTAGATACCTTTGTTTAAAATAAAGGAAACATGTAAACATGAATAGCACATCCCCAACTTAAAAAACTAATACTCATTTCTAACTTTAATATTTCAATTTTTAGTGTAAAATGAAACCATTCTGAAAGGACTAACTTTCTATTTAGTTTAGGTTATTGGGTGATACCTACAATATATGGAACTCATGTAAATTGAATCATCGGCGAAGCCAACTATCCCGTATAATTAATTTACCCGAGTTCCATTGTAGTTATCAACCGATAACCTAACTAAATAGAAAGTTAATCCTTATATTTATAGTTCTATCAAGGTTTTCCTTAAAACACGTTCTTTTAACCAGACTTTATTCCGCGGAAGGATTACAAATATTCCATTTAAGCCCGATGTGTGATATTGTTACGCTTTGCGCCACGTTATGCCGGAATCATTCATTGTTGGTTGATGTTGAAGGAGCAACTTGTGAACAATGAATTTGTCAACAAACTGGACTGAATTGAAGACAAAACCGACGCATTTGAGATGGAAGTTTGTGTGGGAGCCCGGTCAATGTCAGAATTACTTTGTGTGGGACGCGTGATTGTGCTAGATTTAGCGATAACGTCAAAGTTCCCACGAGGAACAATCGCCATGTTACCGTCACTCGTGTCAGCTTCGGGTGACCCAACAAAACAATTTATGTACTTGCTAACTTTGATTAAATGAGAAATGGCATCGTTTACAATTTTATATATGGTTTTTATTCGGAGATTTATCATTCGTTTACAAATCTTGTACCACCGGTACTTCTGTTTACATCCGAAAATAGCAATGGAAACCCCCGTGTTGTTGACGTACACATATGTACACGGTGGATGTATCACTACGCGCACCAGAAGTGACTGTCATTATCGAGTGTTAATGACAATGACCTCAACAAAGGTTATTGAGTCAATTACAATTGAAATTGTAAATATAATCTAGTGACTAATAAATTCCTGATACAAAAAAGAGCTGTTGGATAACAGCATAGCTTGCCTATTGGTGGTAATGTAAAACTTCGATATAATGCCTGTCAATTCATTTGCCACCTCAATTACCGCCAACATATTTTCAGGTCCCTCAATTATGTTTTTCATAAGAATTCCTTATACGTTTCCCTCAATTTCTTGCCAATCCCTTTTATCATGGAAATGTATCAAAGTTTTGCTGAACCATAACATGTAAGACGAGATGACCAGCCAGCGTGAAATAGTCAACAGCATATTGTTGGTGGTGACTGTTCCAACACAGCACAAAAAAACTTGCCCAAAAACTTTAATTAAGTTCATCTAACCAGTTTTGGCCCTTAAAATAATAAAAATATAATTCAGAACATTACTTACACTCCATATAAATACTTCAACTTTATAATAGGCAACAGCCTATTGATGGTGGTGATCCAACACTTCACAAAAAAAACTTGCCCAAAAACTTTAACCTCAAGCTTACCCAAAAATTTGAACTAAGTCCAATGAAGGTATTTTTGGCCCCTAAAATATGAAAATATAGTCCAGAAGATTGCTAACATTCCATATAAATACTTCATTCTTATAAATACTTCATTCTTATAATAGACAATAGCCTATTGATGTTGGTGATCCATCACTACACAAAAACACTTGCCCAAAAACTTTAACCTCAAACCTCAAAACATTTAACCAAGTCCATTCAAGCTGTTTTTGGCCCCTAAAATATGAAAATATGGTTCAGTACACTGCCTACACTCCATATAAATACTTCAACCTTAGAATAGACAAGAGCCAATTGATGGTGGTTGTCCAACACTTCACAAAAAAACTTGCCCAAAAACTTTAACCAAGTCCAACTATGCTGTTTTTGGCCCCTAAAATATGAAAATATGGTCCAGCACATTGCTTACACTCGGTATATAAATGCCTTAACCTCATAATAACCACCTGTGTATTGAGTGTGATTATCCAACACTGCCTGGAAAAAACTTGCCAAAAACTTTAACCTCAGAAGGTGGGATGCTGACGCTGGGGTGACTACATTTATAGCCCCCCTATTCTCCTAATAGGCGAGCTAAAAATATCTTTTCACCAATTAACAACTTTTGCAAAAAATATTCTTAAGCTTTTATAGAGAAACAAGCCATTCAATTTGATATGTCTCGCCTATGCCCTACTATGACCATCACTGCACATATCAGAGAAACTAATATCAGAGAAACTAACTTAAATGCAAAAACTTAATGTTGATTGAGATGCTGCCAAAGTCAATTGACAATGAAAGGAAGGCAGCATCCAGAATTTGATATATGGTTTGAGATGTACTCCCTAAGATGCATCTATGGTCCAAGTTTGGTTGGTCTAGCAATTACACTCTCAGTGAAACTAACTTAACTGCAAAAACTTTCACCGTTGCCGAAAAAGCAACACCTTTGTCTCGCTTTCACTTCATGGCGTCGAGATAAAAAAAAACGGATTAATAGCGAATTGTACAATTCTTTATTTTTAAGCTTTAATGATATTTTAAGAAATATCTGAACTCTTGCTATTGCAATAGGTTATAGTTAATTCTTACAATATAAATGTGAAGTCCTACAAATCTAACCTGCAGTGAATAAGCATGGGTCCTTTCTTGTCTGGGGGTTGAATGTGTGCCCGCACATTTTGTATAAAATCAATCATCACATCATTCTGAACATTTGCAGAGAAGTCTTTCCAATTCAGGAAATGGAAATGTTTGAGAGTCCGTGTCTGATCACCCTGAAAACAAAATTGGTGTGATTTTTTTTTATCCTAAAATTCAAATACATACATGAATACAATGATGTTGATTCTATAGGGGTGATGAACTCTGAACATAAAATCAGAAATCCAATTACAGCACAACCTTAACAATATTTTTATCAAATAACCCAACAACTGTAATATATCAGTTAATATATCTTATGATGAGAACAAAATTGATGAAAATTAAACAGACAAAACAACGGAACTATTTAAAACACTGACGTCATAGTGTCGAGACGTCATAGCGTGTGTTTAGGTTTATATAATTATCTTTTCACGGGTCAATTCCTCAGAGTCTTTCACCTGAGCAAGTATGGGAGAAATAAATTTCTTTTAGACCATTGACTTTTTTGCTAGCGATTTCCCACTGTTTCTATATTGTCTAAGATTTATATTCCTACTGACATTGTATAACTGGCATTTTCCCATTGGTTTTGTATTGGTGTTATTTTTCATCAACTTTATGTTGCTGGCGATTCCCCCATTGCCTTTTTTGCTGATTGAGATTTCAATTGACCTTGAAATGATTGCTTGAGATTTCCCATAAACTGTGTATTGCTTGAAATTTCTCAAGATTTCTCATTAAAAAAGGCTAGCTCTAGATCTCTAACTGAAACTGCATTGCTTCATATTGTTCTTCACTGTTGAGACTGTTCAAGAATGTGAGGTCAATGTGTACGCATGTTAGAGATTGACTTTGTAACTTACTTGTGTGATTTTGAAAATTCTGAAATCATAAGTATTGACAGTGGAGGAGGAGGTTATCTCCACAACGATATCTCCATACTGCTTCGGTTCATTACGCTCTGTTGGCCAGTACTGTTCGCACTTAATCTGTGGCAGAAAGAAAAAATCATCATGTTTAGCCATAACAATAGGAAATACATAGAAACAGGGTGTTTCTAATCCATAAACCGGAAAATTTATACAGACACAGGGTATATCTAATTCATGAACAAAATACAGACCCCGGGTAAATATCACCATGTATAATTCCAAAAAGATTCATCTTCTGGAACAATGAGGTGATCAATTAATCACTGATCTAATCTATCCCAATTTATATGATCTAGCAAATGATTTACACAACTTTATAATAGTTATCACTGCACTGTCATCCCTTCAATCTAACGTGAGACTTAAAAGAGAGTGGATCAAAGACCTACAGGGAAAGAAATTGATAGAATCATTGTGACCTACCCGTCCGTCCTCTTTACACAAGGTCAACATAACACAGATCGCTACTTGTTGTTCCCAGATCATCCGCCAGAAGTCGTCAATGGTACCTGGTATTGGGCCCTGGGATGCGATGTATTCTCGTTGCGAGTTGTAGCCCTGGAATATTTCAACAGATAATGCACGCTTTATTAACACAAAAAAATGAAATATACTTTTTACAATTTCCAGCCAAAAGAGCAATTAAAAACTGCAGAGAATTTAGTTTTCATATAAATATAATACAAACAATTACAGTTCATCACAGAATGTCAAGTACCAGAATATAAGGTAATATTAACACTAGGCCACAGAATGTCAGGTACCAGAATATACTCATGTACTTATTTAGATATACACTATTTACACATGACAATGTCATGTACTTATTTAGATATACACTATTTACACATTACAATGTCATATACTTATTTAGATATACACTATTTACACATGACAATGTCATGTACTTATTTAGATATACACTATTTACACATGACAATGTCATGTACTTATTTAGATATACACTATTTACACATGACAATGTCATGTACTTATTTAGATATACACTATTTACACATGACAATGTCATGTACTTATTTAGATATACACTATTTACACATGACAATGTCATGTACTTATTTAGATATACACTATTTACACATGACAATGTCATGTACTTATTTAGATATACACTATTTACACATGACAATGTCATGTACTTATTTAGATATACACTATTTACACATGACAATGTCATGTACTTATTTAGATATACACTATTTACACATGACAATGTCATGTACTTATTTAGATATACACTATTTACACATGACAATGTCATGTACTTATTTAGATATACACTATTTACACATGACAATGTCATGTACTTATTTAGATATACACTATTTACACATGACAATGTCATGTACTTATTTAGATATACACTATTTACACATGACAATGTCATGTACTTATTTAGATATACACTATTTACACATGACAATGTCATGTACTTATTTAGATATACACTATTTACACATGACAATGTCATGTACTTATTTAGATATACACTATTTACACATGACAATGTCATGTACTTATTTAGATATACACTATTTACACATGACAATGTCATGTACTTATTTAGATATACACTATTTACACATGACAATGTCATGTACTTATTTAGATATACACTATTTACACATGACAATGTCATGTACTTATTTAGATATACACTATTTACACATGACAATGTCATGTACTTATTTAGATATACACTATTTACACATGACAATGTCATGTACTTATTTAGATATACACTATTTACACATGACAATGTCATGTACTTATTTAGATATACACTATTTACACATGACAATGTCATGTACTTATTTAGATATACACTATTTACACATGACAATGTCATGTACTTATTTAGATATACACTATTTACACATGACAATGTCATGTACTTATTTAGATATACACTATTTACACATGACAATGTCATGTACTTATTTAGATATACACTATTTACACATGACAATGTCATGTACTTATTTAGATATACACTATTTACACATGACAATGTCATGTACTTATTTAGATATACACTATTTACACATGACAATGTCATGTACTTATTTAGATATACACTATTTACACATGACAATGTCATGTACTTATTTAGATATACACTATTTACACATGACAATGTCATGTACTTATTTAGATATACACTATTTACACATGACAATGTCATGTACTTATTTAGATATACACTATTTACACATGACAATGTCATGTACTTATTTAGATATACACTATTTACACATGACAATGTCATGTACTTATTTAGATATACACTATTTACACATGACAATGTCATGTACTTATTTAGATATACACTATTTACACATGACAATGTCATGTACTTATTTAGATATACACTATTTACACATGACAATGTCATGTACTTATTTAGATATACACTATTTACACATGACAATGTCATGTACTTATTTAGATATACACTATTTACACATGACAATGTCATGTACTTATTTAGATATACACTATTTACACATGACAATGTCACGTACTTAGATGTAATATTTACATTACGCAGTACAATGTCATGTACTTATTTAGATATACACTATTTACACAGTACAATGTCATATACTTCGATGTAATATTTATATTACACAGTACAATGTCATGATCCAGGACAGATCAAAATGCCAACAATGGTTACTCATAAAATTATAAATCAAGACAATTTCTACTTACAGGAATGTAGTTGGCATTGATAAAGTCTGTGCTTGGGTCCTCGGGGTCAGAAGGATTCAGTTTCACTCGACTGTGATCAACTAGAAAGAAAATCAAACTTTCAGAAGTTTGAATATAACCCTAATTTGTAGGGACTACCACTAAATATAACAATATTTGTAAGGATTATCACTGAATGTAACCATAATATGTAAGGAATATCGTCAGGGATTAGACAGTTTTAGCTGTCTTGCTTCTCTCAAATGACTGTTCATACTACCCAAACTGGTAAAAGCATTTTATGATAGCACTTTCATATGTGATTCAGAATCATGGACAGCAAGATAAATTCTATAAAAGACTACCAATTTTATAAGACCCAGTGATCAGCTTGACAGTAATATAAATCACAGGACAATATACAGCGGATTTCAAATGCAGGTGTTCAAAATACTTGTCACTTAGTGGAATCATCTGGTTTTGTAATACTGACTGACAGCCAGGGGAAGTAACCCTTTAGCTCAATAAGGAGATTAATTGGAATAGTAACCAGTTGTCTAAGGTTTCACTCCTAGTGTAAACACTTAAAAAAAATGACCGTGGTACACAAATATGGTCCTCTAGTAGAAAAAAAGGGTCTGTTAAACTATTGACCAGTTACCAATACTATAGGTTTTCAAAAACAAAATGCATAAAAATAGAACTAAAATAAAACATACCATTCATGAACATGGGAAATGCACAGCTTTACATTCTAAAAATACCATGAAATATAGATGGTGGTCAACGTAGAAAGTGTAGTAAGCTGATGAAAACCCAGTCAAATCTTGAAAAGTATAAGCTGAATGCCTTACGTTGATGTAAATATTGATGCAATGACTCAGAAGTTACAAGATGAATGTTTACAAATGTTGACACTATTTCGGGGTTGGAGAACTCTTACAAGGAAGGATGTTGACATATCTGTTCTTCATTTTGTTTCCATCCTCGTTGGCAGAATTACATGGGTGTTTGGGACTCAACTCCTTCAGGTCCTAATAAATTAAACCAAAACATTTATGTTTAAAAGTTGAGTGATGACGTTCTACATCCTTTTTCATGATATTATTCATTTCTGGTGTACCTGTGTAATTAGGAGTTGAGGGATGCTGTCCTTTATCCTTTTTTATGATAATACTTATTTCTGGGGTATCTGTGTAATTAGAAGTTGAGTGATGACGTCCTACATCGTTTTTTTATGATAATACTTATTTTTGGTGTACCTGTGTAATTAGAAGTTGAGTGATGACGTACTACATCGTTTTTTTATGATAATACTTATTTCTGGTGTACCTGTGTAATTAGAAGTTGAGGGATGCTGTCCTATATCCTTTTTTATGATAATACTTATTTCTGGTGTATTTGTGTAATTAGAAGTTGAGTTAGGAAGTCCTTTATCGTTTTTTATGATAATACTTATTTCTGGTGTATCTGTGNTGTTGACAAATGTTGACACTATTTCGGGGTTGGAGAACACTTACAAGGAAGGATGTTGACATATCTGTTCTTCATTTTGTTTCCATCCTCGTTGGCAGAATTACATGGGTGTTTGGGACTCAACTCCTTCAGGTCCTAATAAATTAAACCAAAACATTTATGTTTAAAAGTTGAGTGATGACGTTCTACATCCTTTTTCATGATATTATTCATTTCTGGTGTACCTGTGTAATTAGAAGTTGAGGGATGCTGTCCTATATCCTTTTTTATGATAATACTTATTTCTGGTGTACCTGTGTAATTAGAAGTTGAGTGATGACGTCCTACATCGTTTTTTTATGATAATACTTATTTCTGGTGTACCTGTGTAATTAGAAGCTGAGTTAGGAAGTCCTTTATTGTTTTTTATGATAATACTTATTTCTGGTGTATCTGTGTAATCGGAAGTTGAGTGATACTGTCCTATATCGTTTTTTATGATAAGACTTATTTCTGGTGTACCTGTGTAATTAGAAGTTGAGTGATGACGTCCTACATCGTTTTTTTATGATAATACTTATTTCTGGTGTACCTTTGTAATTAGAAGTTGAGTTAGGAAGTCCTTTATTGTTTTTTATGATAACACTTATTTCTGGTGTATCTGTGTAATCAGAAGTTGAGTGATGACGTCCTATATCGTTTTTTATGATAATACTTATTTCGGGTGTATCTGTGTAATCAGAAGTTGAGTGATACTGTCCTATATCGTTTTTTATGATAAGACTTATTTCTGGTGTACCTGTGTAATTAGAAGTTGAGTGATGACGTCCTACATCGTTTTTTTATGATAATACTTATTTCTGGTGTACCTTTGTAATTAGAAGTTGAGTTAGGAAGTCCTTTATCGTTTTTTATGATAATACTTATTTCTGGTGTATCTGTGTAATTAGAAGTTGAGTTAGGAAATCCTTTATCGTTTTTTATGATAATACTTATTTCTGGTGTACCTGTGTAATTAGAAGTTGAGGGATGCTGTCCTATATCCTTTTTTAAGATAATACTTATTTCTGGTGTACCTGTGTAATTAGAAGTTGAGGGATGCTGTCCTATATCCTTTTTTAAGATAATACTTATTTCTGGTGTACCTGTGTAATTAGAAGTTGAGTTAGGAAGTCCTTTATCGTTTTTTATGATAATACTTATTTCTGGTGTATCTGTGTAATTAGAAGTTGAGTTAGGAAATCCTTTATCGTTTTTTATGATAATACATATTTCTGGTGTATCTGTGTAATCAGAAGTTGAGTGATGACGTCCTATATCGTTTTTTATGATAATACTTATTTCGGGTGTATCTGTGTAATCAGAAGTTGAGTGATACTGTCCTATATCGTTTTTTATGATAAGACTTATTTCTGGTGTACCTGTGTAATTAGAAGTTGAGGGATGCTGTCCTATATCCTTTTTTAAGATAATACTTATTTCTGGTGTACCTGTGTAATTAGAAGTTGAGTGATGACGTCCTACATCGTTTTTTTATGATAATACTTATTTCTGGTGTACCTTTGTAATTAGAAGTTGAGTTAGGAAGTCCTTTATCGTTTTTTATGATAATACTTATTTCTGGTGTACCTGTGTAATTAGAAGTTGAGTGATGACGTCCTACATCGTTTTTTTATGATAATACTTATTTCTGGTGTACCTGTGTAATTAGAAGTTGAGTTAGGAAGTCCTTTATTGTTTTTTATGATAATTATTTCTGGTGTATTTGTGTAATATGCAACATTCTGTCTATAAGAAACATTGAGAAAGATTTCACATTGAAAAGAGCTGGAATTGAGGATTCCATCTGGAAACATTAAGGTATGGGAGTCGATGTTTTGGTACACCTTTGCTAATTTCACTAAGATGTCAACTTTACTACACAACTGAAAAAGAATTGTAAGGAAATCTTTCCTTATAAGAGCAGAAAAAAGGTTGAATGGTGTTGAATAACCCATTCAAAATGGCATGCAGCCTCGTTGTAAAATGTGACACAATTAGAATATGGTGTTAACTTCATTCATTTTCCCAACATTGATATATTCGTAAAGTTGAGGTGTCCAAATAATAATTAAAAATCTTTTAAACATGTGAAGGCAACCAAGGCATTCCTCAGCTGATATATATATAACTTGAAGAAATAAATAGGTTTAACCTCATACTGAAACATATTTTCTATAAACAGGAAAAATGTTTTGTAGCTTAATTAGCATTTTGTGAATTTTTTATTTTATCCTCACCTCATATTCCTTAGCAAACTTTAACTTGCTGTCTTTCTGAAGGTCAGCCACATGTTGGGGGAACCTCTCCATGGTAACAGGCCTAGGTTGTACAAAGTAAGGACATATTACTGCTTGTCTATATACATATCATTATATTACTAGCCACATGTTGGGGGAACCTCTCCATGACAACAGGCCTAGGTTGTACAGAGTAAGGACATATTACTGCCTGTTCATATATATATCATTATATTACTAGTCACATGTTGGGGGAACCTCTCTATGACAACAGGCCTAGGTTGTACAGAGTAAGGACATATTACTGATGTCTATATACATATCATTATATCACTAGTCACATGTTGGGGGAACCTCTCCATGGTAACAGGCCTAGGTTGTACAGAGTAAGGACATATTACTGCCTGTCTATATACATATCATTATATTACTAGTCACATGTTGGGGGAACCTCTCCATGGTAACAGGCCTAGGTTGTACAGAGTAAGGACATATTACTGCTTGTTCATATATATATCATTATATTACTAGTCACATGTTGGGGGAACCTCTTCATGACAACAGGCCTAGGTTGTACAGAGTAAGGACATATTACTGCCTGTCTATATACATATCATTATATTACTAGCCACATGTTGGGGGAACCTCTCCATGGTAACAGGCCTAGGTTGTACAGAGTAAGGACATATTACTGC